TTTATATATATATATATATATATATATATACAGCAAAATAATTGGCCCGAATCTCGCAAACGGTCTAAAACATTTGTCACAAAACCCAAAGTAATAAACAGGTGGCACCTGGTTGAGTTCGATCAACGGTGCTCAGTTACAGTTGTACTTTCACGCGAACACAGGTTAGCTGTGCAGTAACCAGAGAACTTATCGATTGATTCAGTTATGAGAATCAAACTACGGCATAAGACAAAAGAGGACCGTATAAGTCTGTGTCCTTGACTTTTCACCATTCCACATGTGTTCTTTCATGGGCCGGTACTTGCGATCAGGAGGAAGAAAGGCTAACATTTCCACTGAGACAGTGTGGGTCGAAAAATTGTCTTGAAGATTCAGAACTCCTCCCACCTATTCTGGGGGGGGGGGGAGGAAAAGAAACGGCTAATTGGTCAGTATTCCGTTCTACATATGAAACAGTTTTCAATCCGGTTTCGCTACAACGCCCGTCTCTCCTCCGGTGCATTCACCGGAGAAAATAAAACCATCTGAACAATTCCCATCTTAACTTTTGTAAGCACTGAACACCCAGTTTTTCCGTTTGCGATTCCGAAAACTATGGTCGTACACCGATTTTACTTCATGCATTCTAGTCCACCAAGATGGTTCCCCCAATATGACATTTCAAGCACAGAGGAACTCTGAGCATTTGTTTGGCATGCGTGACAATCAGCTACGAACAATGTGACCCATTTGGCATTCGAGTTCTTTGTTTTCTTGTTAATTATGACCTGCAAAATTTCCATTTCGTGGCCACACAGCTTGAGTTAGCTCGATTCTTTTTTCTTGACATTCTACTTGGATAGATTGGCCAGAAAAGCATGTATCGAACGTGTAGATCATGTTAATTTCGTTGTGATGTGAAAGCAATGCTTATTCTGACATTTTCGATTTGTCACGGACAACAGTGGTTTGCTGGCTATCTTTCGAATGATACCTAGGGCCGATTTCACAATCAAGTGTTGGTCACAAAGATAAACTTATTTGTGTATGCCCCTTTGATTACTTGAGCATAGAGCAGGTTGGCTAAACCAGTAGGATGAGATCTCATACTCTCTCGATGTACGACATAATCGTTTAGGTGTTCCTTTCACGGGAACTCGAGATTTATGATACAATCAGCTGACAGCTGCTTTGTGTGATAACTGCTGGGAAGTCTAGTATACTTTTTTCTCGACAGAAATAGAGGAAACTCTGACAGCGTTTGGCGCACCATACCTACAGATGTAACAACTCAGTTGAAGAAGAAGGGGCATTTAGAGAGTTCAGGACTTCAGACACAAACTGAGCAGTAATCGAAATAAAAGTGCAAGTCCTTAATCTTGTGAGCTGCACTTCAAAACGTCAACTAACTGGTATCCAACACCTCTACAGAACAATTATCATGTACACAAGTCATCGTTTTCGAAGAAGTTTGGTGACAATCGGCAGATTTATTGCTGGGCAACGTTTCGCTTTTGACACAAAAGCTTCGTCAGGCCAAGTGACTAGGTTCCGAGGTTAGTCGAGTTTTAAGGCGGAAGGAGAACCAATCAGCTAAGTTAAGATAAATCTCTGTGCACTAGTCCTCTGCAACCTCTCGGTGAGTGTGGAAAACGTTCCCGAAATCCGCCTTGTTGTGTACTGCTGTAAAACCACTTTTCGAACCTCTGTAGGATGACAATAGACCGTAAAACCACCTTCCACATTGACATTGTGGGTGAATTCGTCAAAAAGGCGTTGAATCCAGAGTGTCATAGGAATTTTGGTCTACATAGCGACGGACACCAACAGTCCTATGGATGTATTCTGCTCTGAGGACACCTTTTGGGTGGAACTGTACTAAAAGCTACGTCACGGTGGGCAAAGTTTAACACTGTTTGATCTAGTATGAGGAGAATACAGTGATTCCAAAAATGAGCAGAGAGGAAAACGCCTATATGGCATGTTTGATTGACAATGCCCACAGGAGGTGCGCGGAAAGAAATGAAGATGGTTCAGTAGAAAAATTCATACTGCACTAGGCATGTGGTGGGGTGGTCCTCGTATTCATTCAGTGCTCTCGTCAGAAGACTTGAAGCTAGGTAGGAGAGCCTACAGCCAAGATATATTCGCATTCACTTGGCACTCTAGTAAGACGAAACAAGAGAACAAAACAGAAATCCCTGAGTGCCGCAACTGTACTCATTCGCAGATCAATTTGGTCTTCACGGGAGACTCAAGTGAATCTCTCGTTTATGATGTTCTTCAACTAAATGTGCTGCACAAAGACCGTCTCATGTTTCAGTTGGTATTATAGCCTAGACATCGCAGCATATTTTCATAAAGGAAACTATTCACAAGGTTGATGAAAACTCTTCGACAGCTTACGACCGACTTCGCCCTTCTTTGGGCTCAACAGGTAGGCGCAGTCCCCGAGTTTCCATCAACCTTATGTTCTACTTGAACCCAGATTGAACTAATTGCGACACATACGCTCATTTTCAAGCTAATTTGTTTTTTAAGAGGCTCAACTGAATCTCTCATTTATAATGAGCATTAAGAAGGGTGAAAACGTTCTTGGGAAGTGGAAGAGCCTTCAGCAACCTTGTAAGTAGTTTCCTTTATTCGAAATCCCAGTTTGTCATCGGCTGTTACCATTATGCTTTCAATACCAACTGTTATGACAGTGAATGTGCATATTCGCACATTACAAATAGTTGACTAGGATCCTGTGTTTATCGCTTTTGACGTTTCCGACAACCCACCGGGCGCACCAATCCGCTGCCCGTCTTTTGTCCAATGGTGATCGATGGTTGAGCTCAAACGCTTGTGGTTCTTCGATTTTAGGAGGTCGGTACTCCAGGTGGTTATGATTATGCAACATGCTTCACCTTCTCTCGTCACAAAATTATTTACTAATTCTGCTTCATCAAAATTTGAATGTCAATAACGGATCACATATTACTTTTATGGTGACCTTGGCAAATGCCGAGCAGATCAACGGACACCAGCTAATAGTATTCCGATAGCCTTTCAGTAAAGGCTGCTGGTGAGATTCAACCACTTGCAATTCAAGTTGGTGCACAAGCGATCGGTTTTTTCCCACTGAGTTTGTCTCGTCGTACAGAAAAGGGTCTCTTGACTGCTGCTCGGCTAATTCAGATGAGTCAAGTACACCGTTTCAATGCATTTCATCGTGATACAATGATCACCTCTGCTTTTCACCAGTACAGGTCACTGGGGTGAGAATGCTTCTGAATGAAAAACAATGGTATAACCCGGATAAATTTTAAAGTTTTGTTAAAACCGCTCATCACCTGATGCTTCTTCACTCTAGATTTAAACTGTTGCTTCATCCTGTGAGCCATTTAAAATGTCATTTTGCGGCTGTTACATGAAATAATTGGTATTCAGATTGTAGTAACGTTACTTACATTTGGACTGGATAGTTTCTCTCACTCGTGCACCCGATTCTTTAGGAACTACTACTCGGCAGTTTAGTGTCGTTCATTTTTCGCCGATAAACTTCCGTTTATCTCGGGTAGAAAGTTCCCATGGACACAACATCGACTAGCCGTCTAAGGATGTCTTAATAGTGACACGATCCTGGCTGACCGTGACGGCAATAATATGTGAAAGAAGTTTAGAGCTGTTAGTTCCCATTACCCCACAAAACAGTAGTTTAAAGAGGGCCTTAATGACAAGTTCACAAAAATAGGTGATGAAGAAGGTGAGTGAGGCAGGATTTAATACCTCCACGTCACAAGCGGTTTGATAGTGGTGTAACGGTGAAACTACTGATGGGGCGTGCGAGTAGTATGTTTTCTCGTAAATCCGCTTCGTGTCTTTTGAAAAGTGTGACCTATTACGCATCTTGTGGAGTCGTATTCGCTTGGATTTGAGCAGCGGTCAATAAATATCCAGGAAAGTTCAGGAAGACGCGATCAAGAAGAAGATAGTCATTCAGTTTTTGTAAACAAGATGCACATGAGAGTTTTGCTTCCCTGTCCAAAAGCTTGTAACTGTTCAGTCGGCATTTCCTAATAAATGATTTCGCACCGAAGGCCTTCTTCCTGTCACTGTTACTCAGGGTGACCTAATCTCGAACCGATTGATTCACCGTCACAAATTGGAAAAATACGTCAACTTTCGGCATAACGCCACTGGGGAGTAATTTCAGAATCCTCTGTCTGTGCCTAAGTGCACTATGCCAGTGTTTGATGCACAAAAATGATAAATTGTTAGCGTCTAGAAAGTAACTCCCATTTATGATCTGAGTCGATTCACGACGTTGTACTGAAGTACTGAAGTGAATAGGGTAGGAAAGGCCTCTTTGGGGATTGAGCGAAAAAGTGTTTCTATTGATCGAAAAAAAAACGTGCTAGAATCGGTGAGAAATTCGCCCACAGTGCACAACAGTTGATTCTTTTAGACATTTTTGAAGATAATACAAGTGAACTTGGAAAATCTCCGTCAACCGAATAGTGCTCTGAACTAATAATATCTCTCAACAAATTAATCAGTCACATGGGACTGAGTTTCGATAAAGTGCTTGCACGCATTGTGTTGCCCCCCTTGAATTGCGAAACTCCAAGTTTAGGTGCTTCTGACATGGGTAGCAGCGTCAGTCAAACTCATTCATCACGTCTTACTGTATCGTGGACACCAGTTCAAAAGTTCTAATGTTGTGACATAGGAAGGCTTATTAAGGTTCGGCATACAAGTAGCTTGCTTGAGTCGTGTATGTCTTGTGTATCGTCAATGAAAATCCTAGACGTGAGATTCAACTAGGATTCAGATGAGTTGCCTGTTAACACAATCCCAACTTACAAATGAGCGTAGTTCACCGAATCGGTGTTAAAGAAAACTACAAGATTGTAGGACTGTGATCGATTAATGAGCCCCAAGAAATGTGAGTTGGGGTGTGAGCTACTGATCAGTTCTCCACAACCGTGTAAGTAGTGTATGGTGTCAACAACCAGCCTTACTCTATTTCCGTTAGATGAATTAGAAAGTTCAGGGCGAGTTAGTTCAGTGGTTAGAGCGCGAATTTACTGACCGGAAGGTCCGTGGTTCGAATCCGACCTCGGCCTACCGACTCCCCCTGTCTAGTTTTGGGCAACCTGACAGTATCCTAGCCCTCGTGCCTCCTTTGGGTGGCATGGTAGCTAGGCACCGGAAGGCTATTACAGCTGAACAATTATTATTTAATATTGGAAAGTTCCTCGTTATTTTTTCCCAAGATCTCCCCTGTCTTGGAATCCCAGGTGACCACGCTTACCAGAGTTTGTAGTTCCTGCAGAGTACTTCAAATGATACTGGAAAGCTCGGTTTTTTCATCCCTGGAGACCAGTTATGACCGAAATGAGAGTATTGACAATAAAACAACGTGCTATGCTAACGTCCCACAATTCTGTTAGTCTATCACTTGGTGCAAAAAACGACAGAAAAGTTTCACATACTGCTGAGGTTAAAAGCAAAAACTAAAAAATAGCGATACTGGCGGCTACAAATTAGCAAACTAAAAAAATAACGATACTGGCGGCTACAAATTGGCACCCTGACTGTGATTTTGCGGTTAAAGAAATGTCGAATTCTTTCACTTTTAAATGTCACCTTAGCAGTGAAACAGGCTCGACGTATGAAATTTTTTACCAGTTACCTCGAATTCATTCAGGCCATACTCGAACCAAGAGGCTCTGTGGACCGCTGGCTGGGTGTTGGGAACATTCTCAGCGGAGATTGTATGGTCCATTACTTTGACGTTTGAAATTCCCCACGTTCCTCCTGTTTGTAACCCCTATTTGTAACCCCCGCTCCACTTTTGTGTTTAGTGTGTATGAACTGGAGTTTATTTGTCCCTACAACCTCACTCATTTGACCTCGAGGTCATCCAGCCATTTTGTGGCCGACTTTATGCACGCGTGACTGTCTGAAGTGGAAGCCTGCCTGCCTGCCTGCCTGCCTGCCTGCCTGCCTGCCTGCC